AAACCCTCAACCCTAGACCCTAATCCAATCTCTTTCGGCTCAGGCCCTGGCCTACGCTCACCCAGATGTGCACGGGGAGGCGGCTCTTGAAATCGCCTGTGGCCGCGGGGTTTTGAAGCTTTCAGGGCTCGGTTTAGGGTTTAGGGTTTAGGGGCTCTTCTGGGCATCTACGAAATCAGGGTTCAAGGGTGCTATTCAGCTATTCTGGCTGTCGAAGTGCTTGTGGCGGAAGGCGAGCTCTGAAAGGCATCGGCTTCAGAAACTAGTGTGATCTTTGGGCTGCATTCCCTGATCCCAAATAGTTCGTAACTGCCTACTTCTACCTTTAACACCACCACACCCGAAACTTGAAGAGTTTTGCAAAACCGCCATAAGAGCATCGAAAGACGCTTTGCTAGATATGATCGTGTCCGGTGGCTTGTCGGGTTTGCACGAACAGTCCTTAGTGTAATCATACTCACACCTCCAACATTCAGCAATACTACACGACAACGGCATACATGGGCTAGCAGTCGTTGCAATGATGATGCATAGTACTGCTACGAAGGCGGCGACTACGACGACTACAAGCCAACTGCCCAATGTCAGTGCCGCCACCACCACCACAACCACAAATCGCACAGTCCACAACTACTGCCACGACGACCTCCGCTACTGGTACTGCTACTGCTGCTACTTACTAGGACTACCACCCTTACAACGCCACTACAACTGTGCCACCGCTGCGACCACCATGCTGCTACTGCTATCTCATCGCCCCCTCCGGCCGGACCATGATCCGTGCAAGCAGAGTCAACAACACAGGGGTACTAAGCATTTTGGTACACGATGAATATTAGGGGCCTTCATAATTAGAATAGGGTTTTGGTGTCTATTATACTATAATTAGAATAAGGACCCCCAAAAATTCTACAGGCAAGCATGTAGGTCCCTATCTGATGAGAACCATAATCAGGTCAAGGTAAAGCCGCCCCTGCCTCGCTGCAGCCAGCGCCGCGCCGAGCCAGACGCGCCGCCGCGGCTCCGGCTGCCTCTGTAGGACTCTGGATCAAATCTCTGTGGCGTCAAACAAGGGTAGGAAGATATTAAACCGGTTCGGAGCATCAGATAAGACATCTCTTAGTCTGTGTCTACTTCCGTGGAACATAAACATGGAATTGCTCGAGTAGGATGCTGGTTCAGCAGTCGCTCAAAGTGTATACATTGCCAGACCCCAACCTGGAATCCTTTAAAACGAATCCATGATTCTCGAAACGAAGATAATATAAGGGCCTCAATAATTAGAATCGGGTTTTGGGGTATAGTATACTATAGTCATAATAAGGAAACACCAAAATAGTATAGGTAAGCATTAAGGACCCTATATTAATGAGCGGTGGGTCTCCATTGACAGGCCCTGACCTTTGAGAAGCCCATCCCTGTGCCGCGACATCCTGCTAATTTGTTCCTGCAGTTGAAGCAGAACCCTGGCTCCGTGTTAGGCTACCAGGTTGTCCTAAAGCCGGAGACTCAAAAGCAAACAACTTGAACATCCATTTCGTCCGGGTCATGCTCAACATTTCGTTGGGTCGTTGGGGATGTTCCGCGTGAGTCTTCTTGCTGGTGCTTTCATGCAGGTCACTGCTTGCTACTGTGAGCCTAAAAACTTGCTGTTATCTTTGGTACCATTGACGGTGTTACGACTGATAACCACAATGCGATCATGCCACCTATCCGACGACATGCTTCTATACCACATTTTACACCACATACTACCTACATACTCTATACTCTATACCCTACACTCTACGCTCTACCTGCACTCTACACTATATACTAAATCCCATACTATGCTCCCGGAGGTGACATGGCGGCCTCCCTTCACAGCTGGCTGCACGGCGTCTGGGCTCCTCCTGACAAGATGCCCAATGCAAAGATTATAGAAAAGCATAGTATTACCTGTTCTACTATACTATAATATAATGTAGTCTGTCTGTCGACTCCGCAGCCCAAATGCAGCCTACACCCAAGGAGCATCACAACTGTTGCCGTTTATCGCTGCGTAGCTTGTGGGCTTTGGGATTCAATTTTCAATGGCTGGGCTTGGGGTTGAGAGAGCTCCTCAAAGAACAAAGCCGTCCGGGGTTATAAGCAGCTGCCTGCTGTCTCGAAGTCTAGCTAAAATAATGATATAATATAGTATAGTATAATATTATAATACTATAATATACTATAATATGAATGATATAATATAGTATAGTATAATACTATAATATACTATAATATGATATGGCCTCTACCCGAGACCCGAAATTCCAAGCGCCAAATACCCCACATCTAAGAGGTCTCAGGCCTTCGAAGGGCCTGGCCAGTCTTGATACCATCCTCAAGCAGCCGGGGGGGGCGGGAGATGGTTTGGGGGCTCAGGGGTGTGCGCGCGGGGATCAGGTTGATGCTTAAACTGACGCCATGGTGACGACGATGATGATGATGACGAAGATGATGATGACGAGGAGATGGCGATGGTCATTCTGATGGTGATAGTGATGGTTGTGCTGACGACGATGATGATGTCGACTCTGTGCATGTGTGTTCTCTGTTTCCTCTGCTTACGCTGACAACTCTTGTGACTCCTTGCGCTTGCAATTATCGTGACCATTGCCATGAAGTCCAGTTCCGGCTCTGTGTAAACGTGTGAGTGCCGCCGCCCTTGGCGAGAACAACACTCGCAACATACTCGTCGTCGTATTCATTCGCAGCAGATACGGTACATACTGGTTCGTAGCAGACACGGTACGTACTGGTGTAATCTAGGGGCCTTAATAATTACCAATGCTTTTTCGGGGGCTCCTTATTATGATTATAGTATAATGGCCCCCGAAATCCCCGAAACCCTATTCTAATTATTAAGGCCCCTATATTACTACACATACTTACTCAGAAACTTCACCCTTCTGCCTTGTTATTGCCATCTTGAGACGTGACGGCAAAGGGAACCCCCAAAATAGTATAGTCAATTCTTAAGGCCCTTATATATAACAGTGCCTAAAGTCTGCATTTGGGAACAGTCGATTGGCTATGCGCAAGCACGTGTGCCGCCTTGCTACATCCGAACTGATGAAGACACTGATCCGAGCCGAGGCGCCCCATTGCTGAGCCATCGCACCGTGCGCAGCGGCTAGTGTATTACATGTGTTTTGATATGAAAGTGGCTTTAGGTAAGGCGGGGAACGGCTGTTGTTAAAGTCTGTGCGAGCGACATCTTGGGACGACGACAATGGTGACTGGGCAGTATTATGCCAAACCGCAGAAAAAGATCATCACCAGTGGACAAAGGGCTCTTGATGTTGATGCTCATCCTTGATCATTCAGGCTAGAGGCGTAGCTCAAGAAAATCACGCACAACACAAGTTCAAACCACAAGCCACATGTCCCAAAACTCGAACCCCAAATGCCAAATCCATATGAAAGGCCCGGTGCTCCAGGCTTCGTGCTTTGGCAACGCGAGGGTTAAGAAGGTCTTTGGTGCGGCTGTATAATACTCCAAACCCCGAGGTGTTTAAGAACTAGTCACACTCCGGACCTCGAAAGGAAGGGACAGTACCCAAATGAAAAGGAGATCACAGCAACGGAATTTTGTAGAAGTAGTTGAAGTGGCGCGATGATCATCAGCGTCACTAAGACTCACCACCACCATCATCAACCCCATCATCATCACCACCTCAGCATCACCACCATCTTCACCATGGTCATGACCACTACAACCAGCGTAAGCGTCGTCTTCATCATTACGAGCCTCATCTTCATCAACATCGGCAAGATCCTCAACGTCATCGTCATCGTCCTCGACATCATCACCACCTTCATCATCATCGTCTTTTTAATCATCAGCACCACCATCCTCATCATCAGCGGCTGCAGCCGGGACGTCATCATCTTCTTCTTCATCAATATGGCAACCAAGACCATCGCCACCGTCATCATCAGCAGCGCCAGCATCACCATTATCGCTGCTGTGGCTCGTTGTGATTACCACAACCAGCTCAATGTAAGCCGAAAGCCTCAAGAATAGCCGCGGAAAGCTAATATAGGGCACTTAATAATTACCTATATTGTTTTTTGGGGGTTCAATATTAAAGTTAAAGTGTAATATACCCCCCAAAAAAAAACTATTCCAATTATTCACCCTAGACCCTAAACCCCAAACCCCATTCTAATTATTCAGGCCCTTGTGTTAGAAGGAGTCATCGACTGACAAGCCCTGTTGCCGCCTTCCGAGCCTCATGTAGGGGCCTTGATAAGTAGAATACGTCTTTGGGGGTATATTATACTATATTGAAAATAAGGAACCCCCAGAATTTGTATGGGTATTTATTAAGGCAAGAAGGAACCCCGGGAATAGTATGGGTAATTATAAAGGCCCCTAGATTACTTACGAAAGCAGCCCTGCGCTTGGGCGGTGGCTTGGACAGCGAGCTCGCGCGTGGGAAGCAGAACCAGGGCTAAGGCGGCTTTGAGGGTTCAGGGTTCTCGCGGTTTAGGGTTTAGGGTTCTCGCGGTTGTTAGGTTTAGGAGGAAATTCCACTGTAGCAAGAAGCAGAGCTAGAAGTCTAGAAGTAGAGTTTAAGGATAGTTGCGCAGAGACGAGTAGCCTTCATAGCGCGGGGTGTTTGAAAGAACCGGTAATGGCCATGGAGAAAAGACATCAAGAGCAACGCTGCATGGTGGCTACACTGACTTTCAAGACCAGGAGCCATACCAAAACCTCAAAGCTCACATCCAAGTTTCCTTAAACTCAAAAGAGTTCAGATGCAGACATATAATTCGCAGTGGAAGCCGTGGCTCCAGAAGAAATGCTGAGAACCGCAACGATATTTATGATGGTAAACGAGCATATAGACTTCCATCCCAAACTCTGCACCAACCCTTGAAGGGTTAAGGGTTTAGGGTTGTTAAAGCTGTCAGCCACATTCCTAAGCCGGAATCCACAAACCAGCTGCACTAGGCCCAGCAGTTACTCTGACGACCCTAAACCCTAAACCCACTACATTTGAACCGGAAGCCCTTAGTTGCAACGACGACGAACCCGACCAAAACCTCATAGCCCAAAACTTACGGTTTAGTTTTTTGCAGGGACTGTAAGGGAAGGCACGTGTATTAACGCCAGGCGCGACCCACAAAAAGCTGGATCTTGTCAAATTCCCTAAGCCCTAAACCCTAAAATCTCACACTTTCGGAGCAAGAGCACCTCGCGGGCCCTCAGCGCTGAGAGCTGCTAAGGTCCTGGCTCTTTCGGTGGTCGGGCATTGAAGGTTTAGCGTTTGGGGTGTGTAGGCCGCCTTTTAGGGTTTGGGATTTTTGTTTCAGGTCCCTTTTCGCGTTCACGGTTTGGGGTGTTTTTGTTGACTTCCCTCTTAGGGTTTGGGGTGTAGGGCGTCTCACAGAAAGGGGGGCGCGCCCGGGGTGCCTGGATCCACGGTTTAGGGTTTAGGGGATTAGGGTTTAAGGTTTCGGGGTTTAGGGGTTTAGGGCTCGAGGTGAACCGTTAAGCCCATAAGACACAAGCACACCATCCTAAAAGGTGAAATCCTAGTACCCTCAACAAAGTCTGCCCCTTCCTGAACCCTACACAGTGAAACCGGAAAACCTGAAACCTTTCACCCTGACCCATGAACAGTTAAACCCTAAGCCCTGAAATCAACCCGAAATCCTTGTGGAACCCTTAAAGGAACCAACACAGCAAAGAGCAGAAGAGACCCCTAAACCCCTAAACCCTAAACCCCCAAACCCTAAACCCGAACCCCTAAACCCTAAACCCCTAAACCCACAACCCATATAGGAACCCTTTATGAGCAGAAGAGAGGAGGCGCTCGAGGCCCCAGCCCAGCAACGTCTTGCGACTCGCTCGCCGAACCTTGCTGAACTAGGTTAAAGGAAACTACAGGTGGGGAGTTGAGGGTCTTTGGGGCTTCTATAGGTATATGGACCTTCTATAAGGCTCCTATAACGGTAGCTACCCACCTGACAATGGCCTAGACTAGGTTCCCCAGAA